ACATCCTCCTGCCACCGAGCATCAGCGAGGACCTCGTGTAAGTGTTGCTCAGTGCCGAGGTGGGCGGGGACGGCCTCAGCTCGCTGGCACCAGAAGCCGGAGCAACTGGGCCGAGTAAGCGTCGCGTGCTTGCGCCGGGCAGCAGCCCCGAGTGAATGGCCCGGTTGCACATCAGCCCGTGGCTGGGCCTGGCCTCGACGCGTAACTGGCGAGAGCATGGTGGTGTGGAGCGTGAGCTGGGAGCCATGCCCTAGAGGGCGGCCCAGTCGCCGAGCAGCTCGCGGCAGCGGCAGTGACGCGGCGCAAGCGGGCAACGGCAAGGTCGTGCGCAGCTGCATATTCCCTGGTGAGTGGGGGTGGCAAGGTGCGGAGGACATACTGGGCACGGCGTGCTGCGCAGTATGACAACAGAAGCCACCCGACTTGCACAGACAGCGCCGGGAGGTCCAGCAGAGCAGCCTGCCGGGCTAAGACGCTGATGCTTTACCGAGAAAGTTCGAGGGTGGTGTGCTCGGGTGGAGCTGCACTTGACGCATTCCAGACGGCAGTCTTTGCAGCGTATGCTGGAGACAAGGCTCAAGCTGCCGGCACAGGACGACCCTTGAGGGCGAGGGAGCGGCAGGTAAATGCTCGGCAGCCCTCCGTCCACATCCGCTGCGCATGGCTGGATGTCCCGTTCGTGTCAAGACAGACACGAGCGCAGCAGGAACGTCTTCGGCGCATTGGCGCACCAAGAGTAGGAGTTGTGCGGTGGTCATGCCATGGGTCAAATCTGACCAACAAGGGTGCAGGTCCACAGATAGTCTTGTCGCAGGTGGATATAACCGACAAGGTAATACGGATACTTTTGGAAAGACAGATTTAACAGCGCATGCTGCATGGGAATATCACGACCATGCTTCTTGCTCTTCGAAAACTGCTTGCACCTGTTGGCACAAGGATGAACAGGTGAGACAATGTGAGACAAAGGTGTCAGCACTACTCCGGCGGCTCCAAGCGCATCAGCCTGCGGCAGGTATCACGTAGCGCCCTATAAAGCGCGAGACATTCGTGAGGCCTGTATTTCGCATCCACGACGAGAGGACCAGGCTGCCGGAACCATGTTGGATCCAAGCAGACTGGCACCTCGGGTGGGGAACTGATCCAAAGACGCAACGCGTCACACCGCAAATTAGCCTCTTTGTAGCCAAGGTGGTCGGCGATGTACTCAGTCACCTGCACACAATCGTATACAATCGTAGCAGACAAGATTTATGACTGACAGCCAGCTCCTGTTGGTGCCTGATTCTCTTGCCGGCCACTCCGCACTTGCCCTGCAAACACAATAGTCGGGCCTCACGCAGCGACAATGAAAATATTCTTTGCGAATCACCTCGCTCGGCTAAGCTCGCGACCTGGTCGGCTGCGGCAACAGATCTCCTGGTGAACGTGCATCTGAACATCAGACACATCCTCCCGCGTGTGATTTTGAAGCTGCCTGCAGGGTTCGCAAAAACTCGTGCTGCAGCTTGCCACTCCAGACCTCAACGACGATTCTACTGGAGATGTCTGGTGTCGCGAAACATGGAACACTTCCCGAACCGTCAGGAGGCGACATGATACAGGACATCACCACATAGCACTACATCAAAGGGCTGCTGCAATTCCTGCGTGTGGACAGATGCTGCTGGCTGCGACATGTCCCACAGTGCATCACCATGCCGGTTGCACATACGTGCACAGGTGCGCGTGCACACACGCCTTTGGCAGCGGCCTCCCCCAGGTGTAGCCAACAGCACAGGCTTGTTCAACCTCATGGAGATGTCTGCGAGACACGGACAGACACACACACGGAGACAGACACGCGGACACAAACACAGACACAAACACACGCACACATACACAAACGCACACACACACACACAACACACATTACTTATCTTTCTACACACATACATGAGTCACACGACTTTCCTGGCAAGGGCCCGAAACTCGGTCAGCGTTCTCTCAAGTGCCCAACGAGAGGACACTCAGCACAACGATTTCTGGCCAGGTTGTCCTTGATGGTCTGAACCTGCCGATGCCGCAAAATTGACTGCATGAGTTGGACAGCTAGCAGAACTAGCCCCCATAGGGAAACTGGAAGAGCGCGCATTCATCGGCAAGTCGCAAAGGACGACCTGGCGGCGAATGCAAGTTGTTCTTTCTCCTCTCCATGCTGTGCGGAGACAAGCTGTCGCCTCATGCCCAGCTTTGGCCAGCGCTATGCCTGCCAGACCTCACAAAGCATTCTGAGAGAGAAGCAGGAGGTGTTTGGAGAAGCTGGCTGGGCCTGTGCCACATGAAAGGTCCTTCTCAAGCCAGGCTGATGTGAGGCTAAAGTTTGTCTAGGTCGTTCCACAGAGCAGGTCCAGAACACGTCTTGGCTGCTCCAAGCGCTGGTCCTGGCGACGCCGCTCGCAGCATCATCAAAGGTTTCCCTTGTCCAGAATATTCCTTGCCTCGAAATGCTTTGCAAGGAGCCAGCCACCTGCCCAGGTTCTCCAGCCTGTCAGGAACCCCCATTGCGGCCGTGGTACGCAGAGGCCAGGAAACAACATTGTGGCCAAGCCAGGCATGCCAGGCTGCAGACCCGTGTTTGTGAGGGCCGCATCGCCCTCTGCAAGGACAACCCGTGTCCTGGCGATACAGGGAAAGAGAAGCGGAACCCACGAGGGCAAAGAACAAGAAGATGCACAGCGAGCCATAAGGACACGTTCACAGCAAACCTCAGCGAAAGGCTTCTACAGGCTCACCCGAGCAACTCATACGCTCTTGTCGGCCGGCAGGGGGGCTCTGAAGGTTCTGTGCCTTGACAGCAGAAGCTGCAAAGCGAGGCTTGCAATGACTCGTGCATGACTCCCTCTCCGAGGCAGGCTTCTAAGGCAAATGCCCTGGTCTGTGGCACCTTCGGTTCTATCCTGCGCTCCACGCAGGGCGAAAACAGCTAAGCTACGTCGTCGCCAGACCGTGCTTCTCTTCTCTGAACCACGTTGGACTCGAGCCTTTCGAACGAAGCCGCGACTCGAACTTCAGGGGATGTCACGCTATGAGCGTCATCGCCCGGCCCAAGTGCGAGTAGCCCGCAGCGCGAACAATCACAACCAAAGCACTCTCGAAACTCGGGCCTGCCATCAGTCTCCACTGACGGTGGCCCTACGTGGTGAAACTTCTGTATCTTTCACTGAGCTGAAGATGCCTCTTCGAGCGATAAAACGACCCCCTGCATACATCTACATACTGTCCAGCTAGTTCCTGAGGCACTCGGACTCGTAAGGAGCAGAAGCTTGTCGGCACGTGGCACGGCTGCCAAGAAGGCGAGCACTAATTCCTGACGCAGGACATTTTCGGACTATGCCTCAAGAACCTCACCACATGGAGGTCTGTAAAAGTCTTGGTATGTCCAGCATCGAGGCTAAGCTTCTCGGCTCAGTGTGCAGTCAGCTTCATCACATTCACCGCCTCAGGATCTCTCAGAACATCTTATAACATAACATACGGCATGCAAGAAAACACTCCACAGCTCGCAAGATCTCGCAGGCTCGCACCTCGGGCCGCACCTTCAACTCAAGTTCTGCAAAGGCTGAGCCTTGAAAGGCATCCTCGGCTGACGGCTGGTCAAGGTATGTCAAGGTGGCTCCTTGCCCATCCAGAGCCCATCCAAGCAGCATCCTGGCTCTTCTGGCTCAAAGCTCTTTCCAGCGTCCCATGCAGAACCTTAGCAGCTGAAAGCACTGGTGGGCAGCAAGAAGTGCCTTCTCTGCCTCTCCTGAAACATCCCAATCTGAGTCTAGACGAGGTGCTGGTCGCTTGCCCGCTTGTGGGGATGGAGGGTGTGCCTAAGTAGTAGGTTTCTTTTCCGGCGGGACAGGGAGGGACCCCAAGGCGAGAACTGGGACTTCAAGATTTCATGTGCTTCCAAGCTGCCGGAGGTGAAAAGTTCTCTGCACATGACGGTGATGTGACCGGAGCTATGTTGGGGGCCAAGGCCTCTTGCATGACCTCAACAAGCTCTGCATCCACACCCCACTGTCAGAAGTTGTTGAAACAGAATATCCGCCGACAAGCTTTTCCTCCAACCCCACTTCCCCTAATTTCCCCTGCTGCTGCCAGTCCTACCTGCTTTGCCTTGCCGCGCCCTCCACACCTTGTCCCTCGTGCAAAGATGTGCAAAGTTCCTTGATTTCCTGCATCCGCAGGCTCCGTTTGAGGGCATGCTTGGGGCTCCCGTTCCCGCACCACTGTCCCTATCCATCCCTCATCCCTCAAAATACGTTAGAATTCCGCCTTTGCTGCTTCAACATCGCTTCTGTCAGTCCCACCCCCAAGCTCTGCCCAACACCCAATCCCCATTTCCGGGTTCATCTGCTTCAGAATTCGGCGGGTCTGGGGTCGGTGGAAGCGGCCTCAGCTCTTAGACGTTGCACTGGGCATGCGCACTTCTTCAGGCGGCGGTGGGGGCGGCACCGTATCCTGCCAGCTAGCACGAGCGTTGGAGACTGTTGGCATTGTTTGGGGGCAGGCTCCTGCCGTGACAGCGGCGGTCTTGGGCCATCGTCGTCCAGAATCATAGGCTTTTGCCGAGTTCGCGCCTGCAGTGGCAGGGAAGCAGGCTTCAGCAGCTTCAGCAAGAGCACAGTAGCATCCTTTTATTTTGGGGCCGACACCTGATCTTCGGCTGAAGATGGAATGCGAACGACAGCCAAGGCAGGTGGGGCAGATGCTGCGGTGCCACCTCTCAGGGCTGCGGACATGCTGCACAACCTTCACCATTGTCCTCTGTCTGAAGCCATCTTTGTTGAAGTGCGGCGCCTGAACGTCGCTGCCTTCTGGCCTATCAACCAAGGAGACAAGAGGCAAAAGGTGTTGTTTAACTGCCTCTCATTGCGCTTTGAATTCCGGAATGTTGCAACCGCGGCACCTCAGTCTTCCTCATAAGCTGCAGGCGCTGAGCTTCTTCGTCATCCAGCTGCAAGCTTCGCAAACGTTCAGCCACACTGCTCATCCGCTCCATGGTAGACCTGTACCTTGGCAAAGGTACGCCTCAACAGGCTCTGCCAGTCCATGAAGTCCTGGGCACACCGGCTGGGAAAACCTGAACTTGACTGCCAAGGAGCTCCGCCCGGGCATTCTTCTGGGCCTCAGCTCGGTCGAAATTCGCAAGCGTCACCGAACTCCATGTCAATGTGCGGTCTGAGGCACCGTTGTGGTCAGCGTTCGTGACTTCCGTTCACCTCTTAGCACAGATCCCTACGTGTGATGCTGCATGCTGAGTTTCATTACGCTCAGAGCATGCTGGCACTCTAAGATCACTGATGCAGACACGTTCACGGAAAGTCTTTCGCGCTGCCGAGGCGATAATGTGCTGGGTCTCTTTCGGACTGTCGAGGGTCAAGACTTCCTGAGTTCAGATCTGCATGTCCCTTCACAACTGCGCAGCGAAAGCTCGTGGGAAGCCAGTTGTGCTTAGACTCTGCACCCTCTGCAGTCTTCCAGTGGCCGTCTTTGGGATCAAAGTTTGGAGTGTCTGGTCTGGCTGGTGGCAAAATCTCTTCGAGACTTGTCAGCAGCCCACTCTCCAGCTCAAAAACGTACCTTGCCGGCAGCAAAACATGCGAACAGCTCCTAAGGGGGCAGACGGGCAGAAAGCAAGCATACATGATTCAGATGCGCTGCTGCGCATCGATTCGCGGATCTTGCCAAGAGGAAATGCCATCCTCTGAATTGACGAAATACCTCTGTCCAACACATCGTATCTGTTGCGAAAGGGGCTGACCGGTACCGACTCCGTTACAGGAGATGAAATCGTCACGGCTGCTACTGGTCGACGAAACAGCCTGAGCCCTCGTGACTTTGTTCACACCAAATGATTGTTGTGAACATTCTCGTCGACAAAGCCCCGGACTGACGACCAGCATCGTCCATAAAGGGCCCATGCCATTTGTCCAGCTCTTGCTTGTGCTGGTGCCACAGAATGCCCTTCTGCTCCTCGAAAAAGCCGGCCGTGTAGCATTTGAGATAATTGCGTCCTGCTGCAATGTTCGAGCTTGCACTCACATCGTGGACTCAATGACAGCACCGATCCTATCTCCACGATTCTTCGGAGGCAGGGCACCAATGGATTCTCCCAGCTACTGACTTGCCTGAGCTGCACTGCAACAACCAACAAAATGAGTCATCGATTGGATCAATGACTTCGAGAATCGATGCTTTCCAAGCGACCGGTCATGATCCACGTAGTAAACGTAGCCTGAGCACAGCATGGATGTTTTGAAAGCAGATCTGCATTGCCCCTGCGGAGACATAATGCTACGAGTATCGGGCATCTTCGAACAAAAGCTGTTGGCTTGTCGCTGCTCGCACTTGTGTTTTCCATGCTCGTCACGCGAACAACTTCTGTCTTGTCCAAGAACTGGGCTGGACAAGCTGACATGCTGCCTAACGACCGGAGGAAGCGTCGCTGTGTGCCGTCCAGCGCGGTGGCAAAGGGCTTTGGATGCCAACTTCTGCAATCCACCCAAACTCTTCCTCCTGTTGAAAAGGTTGAACTGTGTTGAACATCTGGCTCGAGTTCGCTCTGCGGGGCAGGCCGTGCCTCTTTGAGGTGGATGCCCAGCTGTTGCTTGAAGGCTGCGATGGCATGACTCTCATCCTGCTTTCTGGGAACTCTCGGATCCGACCGGACCCCAACAGCCCAACAGCATCCAACAGCCCAACTGAGCTTCAGGCAAGACGGCGGCTGGCCATTGGCCATTTGCGCTGAGGAAGGCATTGCTTGGGGCAGAGCCAGGACTGAGAAAGGCAGCAGAATCTCGGGTGCAGAAACGCTCACAGGTGCTTCAAACTATCAAAACTACGTAGTCAAAGAGCCTCAAGATGATGATGCAGGATAGGATTTGAGTCCTCCATGTGTAAGCAGACCCCGGCGACTCGGCCCTCAAGAACGTGACATCATGTCAATGAGCTTCGATGCAGAACCTGAGGACGGAGTGGAATGTAAGCTCTCCGCCACAGCCGAAGACAAACAGCGCACATCAGTTAAACTCTGACCAGGGTAAGTTTAACCAGATGGCTTTCAAGCTACGACTTTTCTTTCACCTCTGTCATGGCCACAGAACAGCTTTTTGACCGCTCCTACCGTGCTGCTTGCAACCACAAGGAACTTGAGCATCGAATGAGCTCGAATGCGGTACGAGCGCACAAAGCCTGCACGGCAAGGAGGATTAGATCAATTTCTACATTTGACCTTAAGAAGAGGGGATCGCATTGGCACGTCCTCTGTCTTACGATGGTTCGGAGATTCTCCGTGGGACCAAACGCGCTCAGCTTTTTGGTGCACGCTCTCCACTCCCAGGCTTCTCACGGCTGCCCACAAGCCGACAGGCTCTAGGCGCACAGCACGCAGACACCACCTCGGCAAATGCATCAATCTGAGCCCTTTCCCGCTTCTGATGGCAGAAGGCAAGCAGGAGCCTGCAGCTTTGATCTTCTCCTCGGCTTCCTTGGTGAAGTAGCGCGCCTGCTTGGCAGGCGTTTCGGGCCCTCACCGCGCTCTGCTCTCCGCGCAGCGCGCCATGGCTCGCTGCCCTGGCGCCTTGACGATGACCGGCTGCTCGGGGAGCTGACCCTTGCCCAAGACCTTCATATACCCGGCCTGAAGCGACGAAGCGACGGCAGCCCGAGCCGGATGCATCATGCTGCGCTGCCTTCATGACATCGATCACTGGAGCCTTGTCCGTCTTGTCCTCTCGTTGTATCCAGTAGCTTTTTCTTCCCCAGTTGCTACGCTCCACACTAAAGCCCAGCATTCTCGACAGCACCTTGTAGAACAACCTTGTCTGCTCCGAAACCAGGGACCATAAGCGCTCAACGTTGATGGTCGGGATGACCTGGAGAACTTCAAGGCCAGCTCTGCTTCGATGGCTATGACTGGATGCTTACCAGAGCGGTATTGCCTTGCCATGCTTGATGAGGTGGAAGTTGCGCATGCCCACCTGGCAGTCTTCAGGAGCCGGCACCACGCGGAGTGAGGAATTGGTGTCACTCATGCGAAGCCTTTCCGAAGTAGCCAGGATGGTACTTGTCAAAGTTGATTCGGTGATGATGCCTTGCTACTCAGGTGTTCCAAACAAGCCTGCGCATCACGCAACATGGCCAATAAGGGCCCAGCTGACCACCCGAGTTTCCGCAGCCACCAGGATGCTTTCGATGCTTACCGATGCGGCCGTGACCTGTCTCAAAGAGTTGTTCAATGCGTCCAGATTCCGTGGCATCAGCTGAACAACTCTGAGCCAGGCCCCTCTTGCGGTGGGCATGCATCTTGCGGCTCTTCTTGAACCGGGTGGTCATCGTGCCTTGCATCACCGAATGCATTTCTTTGTCATGCAGTCCACATCTCTTCACTTGAATCGAATTCCTGGAAACACCTTTGGGCTCACGCCGAATCTGCTTGGGATGGACGAGTTGCTACCCTGCTTACCCTGAAATGGGCGGCATGCCGAGAAGCAGCCGAACAAGCACTTAGTGCAAAATTGCCAGCACAAATCACAGTAGTCCCAATCCACAAGGGGCCGATGATTGTAATCGCTCGGTTACATCTTGCGGTGCCTAGCACTTCTTTTGTGCCCGTCGAACTCCTCGTTCTGCATCAAGCAGCTGGCGAAATCTGCCACTAGTTACTATCAGCAGTTGCGACTTACTTTGCTTTGGACCAAGAGCAGTCCTCTTGGCCCGCGCCGAAGCGCTTGCCCATCCATCATGTTGACACCCTAAACCCTAACCCTCCCTCTCTCTGTCTCTCTTCACTTCACCTCTCTCTCTCTCTCTTGCTTTCGCCAGGGTTAGGGACAAGGGGGAGACCCCCTTGCCCGCTTTCTCTTTTGCTTGCTCTCTCTCTCCCTCTCCCACCCACCTACCAAGGTCGCGTGCTCTCCCAGAGGTGCCAAACAGGCTTCAAAAACGGTACAGTAGGCGATGCTGTAGTATTCTCTCTCCGCTTACAAGGGTTGTGCTTGAGATGCAGGTGGCGTGCATCATGAGCAGCAGATGGCCCAGCCGCGAAGAACAAGGACGCAGCTGATGCTCATGATGCTGGCCCCGAGGGGTGCGCGTCATGAGCCTCAGGTGGTGGCCGAAAAGTTCTCGACACAACTACGACAAGACGTCTGTACGGAACACCCGTCGGCCGTCCAAGGGGTTCAGCTGATGCTCGTGATGCTGGCCACGGGGCAGTCGGAAATTGCAAGAAAGAAACACAGCGAAACGCTATAAACACCGCTGACAACGCGCGCTGAACGCTGCAAGCTGCATTTGGGGCCGAAAGCCGTCCCAACAATGCGGGACACTCGCGGTGATGCTGAAACGGCCCCGATTTTCTGCATCGCGATCTCCCCCCCCCCCCTCCGTTTTAGGCTTCGCCCGCCAGCCCCGAGACGCCACGAATGCGCTCTGCGTCATGCGCTGCAGTTGGCAGTTTGGCGCTGATTCGGGAAGGAAATGCAAGTGCTGCAGTAAGGATTCCTTCTTGCGTGTTTGGAGAGTGGCTTGGCATTGGCTTCTGATCTGCTAGAGGAGCTACTCCCTGACAACTCAGTGCAGTGTGCTGCGATGCGAGCTGGTGCATCTGATGACATCAACTGTGCAACCTCCTGTCAATGCAATGACCACGTATCCACGGTGTCAGAGTTTGCCTTCAGCAGGAGATAAGATGTGTAGTTGGTGTAAGGGCACCGCCTTACTGAGACGTGAAGCGTCTTCGTTACCGTTGTGTACTCCGTGTTGAGCTCGCTTGTGCGCGGGGTATCAACGGCTTTTTGAAACGCCGTCATACCAACATCCTACGTATCCCTAAGACAAGCAAGCTTCCATCCCGACCAAGACTTGCTTCGACACCGGCATGGCAAGAAGAAGAACAGGCAAGGCGGGCACAAGACAAGAAGAGGGTGAAAACCCAGGACCGAAAACCTATACGGCCTATACGTACTATAAACCCAAAACATGACTAGGCCCTAAACCCACAACTGCTGTGGTGCCTTTGCCAGCTGCGGCTGCACGCAAAGTAGCAAAAAGGAGTCTGTGGGTTTGTTTGTGTGCAGCGGCAGTGCCAGATCTCAAGCCTTCACACGCAACCGTTTCGAACAACTCGAAGCTCGAACCTGGCGCTGTCAAAGATCCACATCGACCCAGGTGCTGTCCCAATGGGTGAGAGGGGATCGCATGCCAGAGCGTCGCCGTCACGCTTCGAGAACTGAGGTGCAACTTGGGGAACGATTTTTGATTCGACTCCGACGGTGAATGCTTGAGCATCTTGAGCAGATCCTCGATGACAACGACCGGAAGGCTTCCGATATGCGGATATGCGCCATGCGGCAGGAGGCGCAAGGCAACTTTCAGATGTGCACCATGCAAGACTGATGCTTGGTACTGCACGGGATAGATTTAACTGTCTCGGCATGAATATATTTGTGCGGAGAAAAGAAGGCTGTCGCCACTTTGGGCGCACTTTTCTCCCACTTTGCGTTAACTACCAGTCCGTGCAAAGGCGATATGTCACCCGGGACGGCTGTTCCAGTTCATTTACAGGGCACACACCACGGACCGTTGAGCTCAACATGCGCGAACTGTTTTTGGGTGCCAAGACGTTTTCTCCCAAGCCGCCCATCGATGTGTGCCAGGTGTTGGTGTCTGTGTGCGTGAGTGTGCCGCATCCAAGCGTCACCGCTTGCAGCAAACCAATTGATCCTTGGATGTCCCTGACATGTAGAGACATCGACGCAAAGACGCCGGTTAAGACAAGCTAGCAGCTAGCGCAGATGATCTGGTCTGGTCGCGAAATACCTGTAGCTTGTACCAAAGCCAGCGCGTGTCAGCATTGCACAATGGGGAGACCAGATCATCATTCTTTGGCGCTTCAGCACTGATTGGCAAATATTGGCTCACGGTCGGACATACGGTTGAGCAATGAAGGGCATTCTGACATTCCTGAGGAGTCCGAGACCTAGATCCAAGAGCAGCTCAAGAGCTTTCTCCAGACTGAGAGCAGGGCTTTGGAGACACCATGCCATTTGCTAGCATGCCGTGAAGATTGTATGACACCACAGATCCGGGAACTTGTACCACCTAAGCATATCGCCCCAAAGGTTCCAAAGTTTGACAGTCGCTTGAGACGGCGGGATCTGAGGGGAGTGCCACTGGACTCCTTTGGGCGCTTGGGGAAGAGCATCGCCTGCAGGATCAAAGCTTCAGCAACTTGAGCCACACAAAGCTGATGAGTCTGGGCCTGCCCCTCGCCGCTGATGCAGCCAGAGAGTACGCGCTTCTGAACAGGGTTCCCAACCACTGGACCACATGTGCAAATTGAGACTGTGATTGAGTTTTGGGTGGCCACGGCCTCTGGCAAGATGCATCACCTGAATGCAACAACAAAGGTGCAGCGCAGTTCTGTGCAGTTGCTGCAGTGGGGCTGCTTTTCAATCACTGCGTGCAATTCTGCGCCTGGGATCCTTCTTGCAGCCTGGCAACGCGACAGCCAAGCTGCCCTGCTTGTTGGCTCGGAAAAGGTGTGCCTCAGAATTGCTTGCTGTCACCGAACGCTCCCCCTTGCTGCTCGGTGGAAGTGGTGGGAGCGGTGCTGGATGGGCTGTGATGGCCCTCGCCAAGCTTGCACTACCTCGGCAGACGAGGAAAGGAACCTCAAAGGAGTCAGCGCCTGGTCACTTGAACCGAGCTTCACACACACGGCCGAACCGTGACGGGCGCGGGCATGGAGTACCGCCGCTGTGTCTGCCATCGGACTCAACGGACAACTGCGTGTCTTCCATGTAGTCACTACGGTCGCATCGGAGTTTGTGTGTCGAAACCTCACACCACCTCACACCTACATGTGGGCTCATGTACAACTGCATCGAGGTCGTAGTGTCCCAGGGCTGCTGCACCCTCCCCACATCTCCCCTTTCCACAACACCTCTCCAAGATGAACTGCTGGAGAAGTCGATCAGTTGGACCGTATCGCCGACTATAACGTGGCAGGCTAGCCGGAAGTGCTGAGTCTCGCTGCGGGACCGCCAGCGCCCGGTGCCTTGTGGCCTCCTGTCACCAAAAATGACTCAAAGCGTGGGGGGGGCCATGGCCACCCGCCTGGGCCTGGGCCTGGGCCTGGCCGGCCCGAGTCTCCAAACGCTCCAACCTGTGCCGAAGGCGGATACTCGGGGACCTCTAGACTCACAAGGCATGGAAAGGCCTGCTTTTCATCTCAGCGCAATCCTCTCGAAGCTTGGTCAGCACCTCTCAGTTCTGAGCAAGGCCCCAGCCACAGCTTTGTGCACAATTGCGCACTCTGGGCAGGGCCTCCATCGGCACTGCTCTGGCACCTTCACACGGCAAGGCACACTGCTGCCAAGCCGGCAGTGAAGAGACGTTGTGCGCCGCTGTCACACTCCGTCACAGCTCTGGGGCTCTGCACGAATGAAAACCGAGCTCTCAAGAACTTAGCACGCGGCTAGCAGCAGTTCGCTTCAGCTCAGCCACCGTGTCCTTCCAAATGTGCCGAGCGCAGCCGGCCCTGCCCAGAGACTCTTAGAGTCTCCTGCAGCGCGAAGACGGTGTCGCCGATGTTTTGGGACAGGCTGCGAGCCCTGGAGGAGCCAACGTCACAACTCCGCTTGCTGCACCCATCACGGCCTTTGAAGTGAAGACAAGATGCTGCAGTCCTCACGTTTGGGCGCAGGTTGGGAGTGGCCACAGACGCTCCGCGGCGCTCCTCGGAGGAGGCCGGGCCCGGGCTGGAGATGTTGGCCTGCGCAGAAGGATGCGTTCACAGAAACAACGGTGCGGACCCAGTGCAAGTGCACGAGTCCAACCTCCCTGTGCAGCTCGATCTTTGTCGCCGATCCTGCATCATCCTGATTCAGCGTAATGGCGGTTTATTGGTAAGTGTTGAAATCGTCAACAGATTTCACCCGTGCCGTTCCACTCAACGACGCGTCAGACTGTCACCCTGGCTCCACTCAATTTAGATGTGGCGATACTAGATTACTCGGTGATGTGTCAGGTGACAAAGACGGTCGAACATCTTACAGTGTCACAGAGGCCATGGCAGCATGTTCGTGGGGGTGCTTTCGGTACTCATGCTCACGGCGAGAGCTCCAAATCTGCTCTGCCAGTCCATGCGATGGTGATCTGAGTGCAGAGCTCGGCTTTCAGCTCCGCTCTGCAATTCCTCCACCTCCAGCACCTTGCTCCCTGCGGCCTTCCAGCCAAGTGGTGTGGCAGCAAATGCCAGCAAGCTCTCTCGAAGCCCTCCTTCCAGGCTGTTCACTAGCCGAAAAGCTCAGCACATCTGAGCACTGTGCACTGCGCGTTGGAGGCGGAGCCCTGAACAGGTCCTGCAAGCAAAGGGGACAGCAAAGTCACGCCATACCAGCTGGCTCGCCGCGGTTAAAGTCCCGCATCCGCTTCACCTCCGAGCGAAAATCCGACACCTCAACTGCAAGTCGATATCGTGTGAATCATATCAAGTGACTCACCTGCTTTCGATGATCAAAAGAGTGGTGACTATGGAGCAGCCTGACTGCTTATCACGTGCTGTCGATGGAATGAATTCCCAGGGTGTTGAAAAATCAGAGTGGGCTTGGAGAGCATGGGCGCAGCTTGAGCCTTTTCTGTCACGGAGAGTGTGGGGCGGTTTGCATGCACTTCTCAAGGGATCTCAAGGGCTCCCAGCAGGGCGTCTGAACCACACCTCAGCCTTTACATGGCTTGAGCGGCACACCGGCCAAACAGTGACAGCATCTTCCATCACCTGTGCAAGTGGTGCAAGTTGGAGAACCCGACTCTGGAGAAATGCGCAACATGAACAAAGCCAGGCCTGTGAACGGTGGCGCAACCGTATGAGAGGCTCCTGCATCATGCCGTGGAGCACCATGCCACTTCTCACCCACGAGGGCAAACTTGATCAGGGCTCCTTCGATGCACCAGACGCTGTCATTGAAGGCGGCAAGGAATCCACCACCTGCAGCTTGCATCCGGCGATACAGTGCCGACTCTCAAAGCACAACATCGACGATACTTCTTCAACAGCTTTGCTCAATTTCGAGCATGATTTCAGCAAGCCTAACAGCCTAATTGAACCACAGTAGATAGGACATAGGCGACATAGGTGGATAGAGGACTTGACATTCTCGTGACGAAGGCAAGCCCCGCCTCGAAGAATTTGGACTCTTGGGATGCAATCTGCAGGTGATCCAGCTCCTGTGCTTCGCAGGGACCGATACTAAGAAGCACCTGAAGCGAAGCCTTCATGTACTTCGGACGCATCTACTTGGGATTCCTTTGCAAGCTCATTGGCTTCGTCGATGAGGCTCGCCATTGGCCTCGGAGGTTGATGCTGCAGGATACATCGCATAGCTGTGGATGCCGTCTGTCCTGGTTGCGGGATCTTTCCGAACCTGACCAAAACGCAGCGACACCGCTCATGTGCTTCACAGCCGGAGCACCTCGGGGCACATCTCCGAGCGCTCGTCAGTCACGACCAATAATTCGTGTGCCTTCATGAAGGGAGGCTACGCTTAAGCCATGTTAAGCCTTTCGTAGTTGCACCGCACGGCACCAAACACAGCCATCTTCAAATTGCCAGAGGTACCCAGCCCAGCTGCAAGCGATCACCGTTGGTCAGTGGCTCCTGCAAGCCAGTGGTGGGATCTTCAGAGTACAGCCGATGATTCTTGAGAAGACTAAGCGACCGCAGTGACCATAGCCAAGGATCTGTACTTATGACGACGTCACAATGCGCGAGGAGAAGCCAGTCTCGCCGTTCAATTGGTGTCGAGACCAAGTCAGTGATGTGGCAGACCCGATGCGGCTCCGGTGTGGTACCATCCAGCATCTTATCGTTCAGGCACAAGCGGTACCTGCGCGGAGTGCCCGCTTTGGCAAACCCGGACCGTGAAGTGCAAGTTTGGCCTGCCGGGGGCCAAGTGCTTCAGCCAGAGCCCACCACCAGTGTCCTGATACAGGACAGGCGGACCGAGAGAGCATTGGTTCTACTCGGAGGCTCGGAGGCCCACGAAGATCTCGCAGTGTTCTGGAGCGATTCCCAGGCCCTGGCACACTCTGGCATGGCCACTGAACCGTGAACGGGCTGGCAGCAAACTCACCTGCATTGAGAGGCCCTGCGTGGAGCCGAGAATTCGGGAGCCGTACGGGTACACCGCATATGCCTCGTCAGCTAACACCCCAGATCTTAAGTTTGTGACGTACTCAAGAAATCATCTGAGGAAGTGGCAAGGCAACCCGTAAGCATGGGATCGCTGTGAAGACGGGCAAGATACGCAGCTGCTGAGGCCAAGTCCTGGTCGCGACAGCTACATGCTGAGACTGCCTTTCAGCAGACTTCCCTGCCAGAGCACATGCTCTCTTTGATGGCTCGCCTCATCGGACGCAAAGCCCCAGTCTCTCAAGGACTGCATCTGCGCCTGCACAAGGGGCTGTTGTTGGACTCCGAACGCATTGAGCAGTTTATTGAGAAGCTTGGGTTGCTGAGGAGCTTGGGACCTTGTCTCGACAGCAGGGATTCAACTGTCACGGACATTTGGGGATGGATGCAGAGGTCAAGGATGCGTTGGTTGCAGTCCTGCAGTATCTGCTAAAAAACCTTTCAGAAAACATCTGCAGAATTCTGCAGACAGCTGTTTGTCTGATCGGGAGCGAGAGACATATCGAGAGATGCTAAAAGTATCGATGCAGGCCAGCTTTGGCCGCAGTCGCAAAAGACCATGAGAGAAGAGCGTGAGAGATGCATGAACACTGCATGAACAAACCCGAGGAGCCCATCATAGTCTCGCCTGCAGAAGGGCCCTTGTGCCTGCGGCTTGCTCCTGCACGCAAGACACCAGGACCAGTTAACCGAGCCCGAAAACCCATGTTGCTGGTTCCTTGAGTGGAGCCGTCCAAGCAAACCGCCTCGCGATCATGCACAGCTGCGGCTCGTGGCCGTGTTGCTGGCTCCGCTTTGAGCGCCGTGCTCGGCCGAAACGCGCTGAAGAGTAGCAAGCCGTGCCTCCTAAATCGGATTGCACACTGAGGGAAACATTCCAGATCGTCTGCTAATGGCACCTTCAACGCAATGTCCGGCCCAAACCTTGCCGAGGGTTATCACTCACTTCACCTGCTTTCTACGCCTGCTTTACACTGCTTGGTCCCACCTGCTCCTTTGCATTGATCTTTGCAGGGCCTGCCACTTGTTTCAGAAGCGAAAGCTCCAGAGCTTCTGCACTGGCACGCCTCAATCGCCTGGTCCAAGAGAGGCGTCGAAGCAGACGGCCCTGAGTCACCATTTGCCCCATCACTGATGCGGATGCGGAGCGACTCCGGAGGCCTTCTCCGTTTGAGTCGATCCTGGCCGCGGCCTCGACGGTGCCCTGGACCATCTCCAAGTAGCCGGCAGCCTCGCTGTAGGCCAACGGCAGTGTACAGCATCGGCAGATCCCAAAAAGGCAAGCCTGGCCTCGCTGTAGGCCTGGCCTACAGCAGAAGTGCTCTACACTGCCAACATAATCTGCCGCAATCATGCGCTTTCCCGTGCTTTCGCCTTGGGAAAGCGTTGCGATGAGTAGGAGCCGCTCCCGGCAGCAGAGTGCATCCTAGCAGCATCGGCACCCAAGTCCCCGAGTGCCAAGCGTCTGATTCTAGACCTCCAGCAGCTGCGTCAAAGCACTCCGCCGAAAGAAGGCTTTTCCCAAACCTCGGGCCTCAGCACACAAGAAATCCAGACCCCGAGCCTGCGCAAGACGAAGGGATACTGAGATATACTGAGGCTTTGACGCGTGCCCCGCCCAGAGCCAGATCTTTCAGGGCCTTTGATCCATCGAAAGTCACGATACGGTAGTGCACCCTGACCCATGTGACCCCGTCTGTCCTCCGAAAGGCCAAGCAACGACACATCCTGCACAAGATATTCAGTTTCGGGATCGCACCAGTGTGACCAGCTGCAACATCCACGAGCGCCCACTCATGCGTTCGCTAGCCTTGAAGCTGTTGTAGCTGGCACAATCGACGAAGGCTATGTGAGGCCTGCAGCTACTGTCATGGGAGACCGTGCAGTGTTCAGAGACCTGTGATGCAGTGCGACCTCTGCCGATGAGCACTCCCTGCGGGTTCTACGGCGAGAGACAGCACCTCAACGCCCACGTGTTTGCAAGCTTCGCAGGGATACTCAGTATTCTAAACTTGACGACACAGGCCCCGACGGTGTGTGAGTATCCGTGCACCTGGGTGGGTTGACAGTTGCTTTCTTGATGGAACACCAGTAAAACCTCACTAACCTTTTCTGACTTATTTTTCCGGGCCAAAGTCCTTGCCTACCTAGGCAGAAAAAAAGGTGAGACCGTGGGCACGAGGGGCGGCTTGAACTTGGCGGGTTCTGGCTTCCTCGAAATTTGATGATTCTGCTCACATGAAGAAACATTCCTTAAGTCGGAGGATTGGAAACCCTATTTTCAACCCTATTTTCAAACTACTTGATAGTGTACACTAATAAGTTCTGTCTGTGTCCTCCGACCCTCCGTTTGCCAATCTCGAACGTGTTAGCGGAGTCGGGATTGTGGCTGACTTGCCTAAGGGGGTCCTCCCCACTGGTTCTAAGAATATGGCCAGCTAGTTTGATACGCTTCTCCCGTACCAACTCCGAAAACAGTTTGACCTTCATTTCCCCATTCACCTTCTCTAATGCAAAGTCATTCGTATTTGCTCGGTTCACAAAAGTACTATCTCCCCCTAGGATCCGTCTTATTCCTCTCAGTTGACATGCATATGGGACTTTCCGAAAATAAGGGGGTACCTTATTTTGGGGTCCTTGTAATAAGGATCCTACTATTTAGGGTATTATTTTAGGGTCCCTTATTTTCGGACCCCCCCATTTATTCTTCCTGCATTCATTGCGTTAGATGAACAGTCTCCAGACAATATAGAAAGTTGTTTCTGATGATGGCATCAAACACATGTAACTTCCAGTGCGCTGGGCACTGCACTTGCTAACAAAATATCATTCGGGGCAGGTTTTTTGCACCACAAAATATTGCGAAGAGCAAGCACTAAGGCTCGTATGCATGGTCCTTCCACTTGAAAATTTCCAATATAAGGCCATCGGGTCCTGCTCCTTCTGAATCATGTATCTTTTCCAACCTCTGAATTCTCATAGTATTGTCGTTGTGCCAATGCTTGCTGCTCCAGATAATTAGCTGCGCACTCTGCTCTGGAGTGACATTCATCATCTTTCGATGGTAGGAAATATGGCGAATCTTCCTCTTCCATTCCTTTAATTCCTTGCCACTTCTCCCTTTGATCTTCTAGGTTGATTTAGACTATTCATAAGAGCCTCTTTCTTATCTTTCGTGGCATTCTGTTTGATTTCCTCTGACAACAACTTCGTTTCGTCGAGTCTTCCTTGTTCATGCGCCTGCTGTCTGCGGCTAATTAGCTGCCAAATATGCCTAGAAATATGGCATTGCCTTTGGGAACTCAAGATAGGGTCAGGCACTATGAAGCTATTTTCGCAGTACCAGCAGGTGCATGTTGCCATTTATTACTGAATTCCTGTGCTAGTTCCGGTAAAAAAACAACTCAGTTTGTCGTTGTAGTTCTTCCATTCCGCATCGGCTGGCTGCCGAAATCTAGCCGCTTTTGGACGGACTTGCCCTCCACTGCTGCCCGTTAGTTTGACCGCGAACACTGCTTCCACAATATCATGATCAGAAGGGCAATGCAAATCCGTCCTCGATCTTACATCTTTACAACTCTTCTTAAAGTTTTCATTCGCCAACCAAAAGTCTAACAGTGCTTTTCTTGTCGGAGACCACGCCGGTGCGGACGCCCGGGGGAAGGGTTTCGTTTGGAGGTGGTGGCAAGATTTGGCAAAGGCCCCCGCTAGGCAAACAGCGCTTCCCAGTTTTATGTATGGGCTTGAACTTGTGGCGACCTGTGCAGCATGGTCGGCAGTCGGCGCTTTAAGAGGTGTTGGGAAGGCATTCAGTGCACCGACCGTCTTTGCAGGGATGCTCATTTGATGTACATGGAGTTTCTTGGGAACTTCAATGGGCCAGGCCAAGGTGCTCCGAGGAGCTTGGAACGTGCGGCGCGCTTCTTGTTGCCGTAGTCCGCAAGTTGCTGCACCTCCGGCAGCGCGTCGCTCTGGGCTCGTCTGAGCTCAGAGCATTGGGCCTCGCCGACGGACTCCACAAAGCAGTGGGTGAGTCCCAGGACATGGGCAGATGCGCCAGGCATTTCGACCACCTGGCCAGCTTCGGAGCAGAATTCTGTTGAATCATTCTTCTGACTTCCAGCTAGGCCTGTCTGGGGCCTTTCTGTGATAGACAGCATGGCAACTAAGTTAGCCCCCCCAAGTCGGTACCTCGAGGTTCGCCTCCTGATAAGGAGAACTTTCTCTGTAATGATGCCGAGGACAACTGGCGCAGGGCCTTCGATTGCAACGGAGGCAGCGGGGCCAGAAGGTCTATGACCTCCTCGTTGTGCACCTGGCTCGAGGAGTGTGATGGTGTCTGGCGTTGTATCTTCTCCGGGAACATCTGGGAACAACAAGGCAATCCCACATGCCTCCAGGAACGAGCACCACACCTGCTTCACCCAGGTCAACATCGTACAATGTGGAAGCAGGGATTGCTGAGACATGCACTCTAGCGGGCTGTCCAGTTGCAGAGAAATGGCGGAATATCTCGAGAGTCACATGCCTGTCATGCTCGGAGCTCTGAACCCACCACATTTGCAGCTTGTTCCACCCCAAGGTCCAAGGAACTCACGGGATCAGCCCTGGATCTGCTCCTCAGAATGCTGCGTGTGATCTAAATGCCACCTCGCATGATGACTCTTCACCACGAGAACAGAATCTCTCGGTCTTCCACCATATCCCAGCAGGGTGTGACCTCGGGAATCGCCATGTACTGCAAGCCGCCGGTTCCGGTGTCCTCAGGAGCCAACTTTTTCCACTGGACGGTGGGCCACAAGAGAGGACGGCAGCGCTCACTCCCTGCATCACCTGCTTTCAGGCTCAGTCGAAGCACCTCAGAGTTTTGACCGCTTCCCGTTGCCCCTCTTTGTTCCGGCCTCCTCGACGGCCTTGGACATGAAGTCTCTATACAGAATGGCCTCGTTGCGAGTTGGTGCGAACGCAATGACCTGACCGCCCTGACAGCCTGCGCATGCTGGTCGGTGAAGACAAAGTGAGACGGAAAGATGATACCATCGTCATCTTGTGCCTCGCAAGATGTTGAGTTATCTGCGACAGCAGCGGGCTTGCTTTCAGCCAACTCATCGACAAGTGTCACACAGGCTTTGCAGAAACCCTCCTGTCATGCAGGAGCATCTCACTAAGGAAGCTGCGTCTGAGCGAAGTTGCACCGCTGCCGGTGCCTTCACGAACACTTTAGCCCAGTCGCGGAAGCAAGCCCAGCGCTAGAATACTACCAGGGCTGCATTCCAGGATTCAGCCGTACCTCTGCCGATCTGGAGGATGTTGCTGACACCCTGACAGCAAGTCCGACCTGGCTCAGTGCTCAACACGCATCACACATCTGCCAGATGCGGGCCCCTTCACCAGACATGTGCCCTGAGCTTATCTGGGGGCCTCATCGGCGAAGAAAGGCCGAATCCTCACCGCCGCACGGGGACTTAGCGGACTCCTGGGATCGGGCCGTCAGAGGATTCTCGCGGCTGGAACTCTGAAAGCTAAGGCCAAGGCCGGAATGTTTCGGCATCTGGACGAAACGAAGCCATGCTAGGAACGCTCGTGTCATCTGTTCTCACAGGTGCGATGCAAATTTCGAGCTACAAAGATACCAGGGAACGCTTTCGTGCTGGACGACCTAGCTGATCTACCTTCAACTTGGTGTGCAAGTGTTCTCAACCATTGGGCCAGCCTGCCGGCAACAATTTCGCCCAAGCCAAAGACCTTCAGGCCAAGCCTCAATGCTGAAACCGAACTCTATGTATTCCAACCCGGAAAGGCCTGCTACACAAACCTGCAAGAGCAGCCTTAGCTTGCAGAAGCCTCATGCATGCAGCAGGTCACTCGCATTTGGCATCCGAATCCGACTTTGCCATCTTTGGCCGTTCCGCGCAGAAATCAAGCGCACAGCACGCAGACACCACCTGGCAACGGGCGGCTTGAGATCAAAAGGATTTACACGACAAGGAAGTTCAGATTGCACAGGTTGACGAGACACAACGACATATGGCGTGTGCTCCTGACTCAACCAACGAAGACAAGAAATCCTGTGACCTCGCCTTGCATCTACAGTCGAGCCGCTACGGCTACAGCCAGAAATCTTGCACAGGCTGGATCTTCAAAAGTGGGGAGCCTGCGGCTTTGATCTTCTCCTCTGCCTCTTTGGTGAAGTAGCGTGCCTGCAGCTGATGGGCACCCGGACCCTGGCTTCTGGTTAAACCGACAGCCAAATGTGCCTTCACGATTACCGGCTGTTCGGGAAGCTGGCCCTTTCCCAACACCTTCATGTAGCCAGCCTCTCAGCACACCATTACCGACCCGTCACTACAGAATGTCCTCTCTTGGAAGGGATGATGCCTTCATGATATCGATGACGGGAGCTTTGTCTGTCTTGTCCTAGCTGCATTGCAGAGCACACTGCCGCGCTTCTCTCATGAGATAGCAGAAGCATGTAGAGGCACGCGACCTTGTAGAACAATCGTGTCTGCTCTGACACCAGTGACCAGAGGCGCTCTACGTTGATGGTGGGGATGACCTCGAGCGAAGCTGCAAGCTGCAAATGATTGAGGGACCTTGAGAAGAATTACTTGGCCTTGCCATGCTTGATGAGGTGGAAATTGCGCATTCCGACCTGAGCAGCGGGTACGGCGGACATGCTGCATGTGCCCAGATTCTGCATGGTCGTGGTGCCTTTCCGAAATAGCCCGGGTGGTACTTGTCGAAGTTAATGCGATGGTGGTGCCTTGTGCAGCAAGGTTATTCTCCCGGCAGCCCCACAACAGGTAGAAATCGAATCATCGGAGCTGAGGATAGTGCTGGCCACCCGAGTTTCCACAACCACCCGGATGCTTGCGGTGCTTGCCAATTCGTCCATGCCCTGCAATGCAGCTGTAGACTTCAAGCTCACGGCGTCGCCAAAGCAGCCACACGATGCACACGCTTTGAGCCGGACCCCTCTTGCGGTGGGCATGCATCTTGCGGCTCTTCTTGAATCGGGTGGTCATGGTGCCTCGGTGTGGGCTGCATCACTGAACGCTCAAATTCAGAGCAGCATCAGTTTGCGTCAGCTATCAGCCCGATGTTCGCAGACAGCACTAGGTGGCAAGTACATGTGTGCTAGTGTGGCCGGTGCGACAGAGCGCAAAAACTCTCGAAAACACACAGAGATATATATATATATATACACACACACACACACACCACCCAGACCCGCCCTAGTATTCCAGGCTCACATTGTGAGATATTGAACGCGGCTCCCCACTCGGGGGAGCTTTCGTCGCGTCACATCGCCATGCTCGGGCGTAGAATCTCCACGCATCCCCCAAAAAAGACTGAACCAGGCAGCTGTTCTGTGGCCTTATCCAGGCCGGTGGCAGGTGAACTGTTGCACGATTTGACTTCATTTTCGTCCACTCGTCCCCCCGTGGCTGCACGGCTTGGTGTGGTCGGGGCCCCCGAGAGGCAACAGCCGAAGGTTAGTTGAACAAGGGCCGTGAAATGAAAAGTGTGGAGACTTGCGGACCGTGCCGGCATAAGGTCGCCACGGAGATCGACTGGGGCTTCCACGATTCTTGGACGCCTTCCCTTGAGCCGACGAGCAGCGGATTAACATCTCCTCCAGCCATGACTGCGATGAACGCCACAAGCAACAGCTACTACGCTCCCGCCAAGCCCGCCAAGGAGACTTGCCACCCATGCTCTTGTGCTCTTTTTTCCATCCCAGGCCGCTGTCCATGCACTTTATGAACTTGCTTGGAGAACACAGGAGAATGATTCCGGCTCGGCCTATGTACAACCCAGGCTGGATCAGGGCAGCAAGTCCCCAATCATCTTCCTAAAGTCCGCTGTAACCGCTGCACAGAAACCAGGAAATCCAGGAAATCATGCAACGCACTCCGTCTCCGTCGCCGGTCGCCTCGCCTGGTCTGGGCCGCCACCGCAGTGAGAGCTTCCACCTGCCGTGCGCCGAGGGCTGAGGACACCAGGACCTGCCTAGCCTTCGAACCCCTTCGAACTCGATCTCCGACCTGGCCAGAAGCCTCGTGCCACGCGGTGAGTAAAGAACAATATGCCGCCTGCGGTCGCGGCGGCGACGCTCTCGGACTTTCTGTACTTCGACACTGAGTATCTGAAGCCTTCAGATCGCGGCCGACATCATCCTGGTCGCATGCTTTCAGCCTTGACTGGTGGCAAAGGATGGATCTCTGCTGCATGGGAGCTGCCCGCTTGGAATCACACAAACGTAGCAGAACAGCGCTGAGCTCTTGCCTGCGGAACGTCTGGGAAGGTCCAAAGCGACGGGATGACACAGACTGCAACCGGATCCTTCCCTCCCGCCTCACGTACATGAGGCAGGCTCCTGTTTGCAACTAGCAGGGAGAGTGGGGCGGAAAAAGCAAGGCTCTCCGGCCATCGCTGCCAGCGCGATGGCGTGGCGGCAACAGTCCGCAAAGGTCGTACTTACTTATGTAGCGACATTTCCAGCAACAACATCCTCACCGAGGATGGTTTGGAAAGAGAGAACGAGGAGGCAGCGGGTTGTATGCGGTAAGCATGTCATGTACGCGGCACTTGAATGCACAGTAGTGCGCAACACACGCTCAACACCTGGCGAGGCTCGAGACATAGTCGTTTAGATCTCGAAGAGCCTTGTCGTGTGGTGCTTATTGTCCTGTTTGGCGATTCTGCGGATGTCAAAAGGATGCGCGATTCGCCGACCGGAATTGCCGGCCGGGGTCATGACTTTTTGTCGTACCACTTCTGGCTTTCGCACCACGAATGAACGGTGCTCAGTATGCCACGGCTCTACGTGTATCTGACCGCTCGGAGCTGCACCTGCTCGCAGAGTTGCAACATGGGTCCTTGGTCCTCGCCCGTAGACAGCAAGGCATTGCGCATCTGCTCTTCCTTTGTTGCAAGGTGCAGACAAATGACAAATGATGACAAATGCAAACACAGAGAAATTCCAGGGCTTTGAGGATGCAGCTCGGCTGTGAGAACCTGTGCCACAAAGCCCATCTGCTCTGGCTCTGCCAATCCCACCCATCCCCCTTGCCTTGGCTCGGCTCGCTGACCTGAAGCCATAAAGCTCAACCGGGAAGGCGCCAACCCGATCCCTCCCGGTCTGCACCTGGAAAACGGCCTCGTCGCCGCCTGAGCTCTGAGAGGGCAGTCCGCAAAGGACGCCGTGGCATCTCGCAGTTTGGTGCGGGAATCCGGTTCGCAGGGGTCGCGGCCCGTCTTAGGCAGCTCCGGACCCGAGCTCAGCCTGGAAAAGCTCACTTGGAGTGGGTTCATCCGCAGACCGGAGCTCGAAGGAGCTGAGACAGCTGCTGACAGACAGCTGATGCTGGTTCTCGAGCTACACTACAAGCTGAGTGCCAACCCTGCCTTGAGATAGCAACTTCACAGAGAAGTGACGCAGCTTTGGCATCACCAGCCCAGGCTGGCCGACCTGTCTGTGGCGTGCGTTGGCGTTCTCGCTGCCCAGGGGTGTCGAGACGAAGAGGTGCCGCCTTTCTGTACAGTACGGCGAGCGGCCTTGGCTGCGACAGAAATCTTGTCCGAGGCTAGGTGCTTCGCTCTACGAACCGGCTGCCTTTGCTTCCAGCAGCTTCGTCGCAACTCCAAGAGCCTGATTGGAGAGTGTCAGAGAGGAGAGACAACATGGAGAGCTGCACGCTGAACATTTCTCATAAACCTGCTCGCTCTCAACTGCCTCCGCCCGGAGCTGCATGCTTCTTTCTAGAGAGTGTAAAGTTTAGATTAGGGGTTTTGCCAGCCAGAGTAGTATGCGTACATGCTTCGCCCGAACTCTGCCGGGTTGCTTGGCAAGTGCGGTTCGGCGACAGGCTTGAAGCTAAAGAAACTCGTGGAAGGCCCCGCAAAGAGAATGGACGACAGACAAAGCAAGACCAAGCACCTTTCACCTGTGAATGGAAAGGTTCGTCGACTGCTGACATGCGCCTGCGGCCTTGAAGGGTTCAGTAGAGCTGAATGCACCACTGAACGTCTGGTTCGAATGTCATGTGCCAGCCTCGCTTCGTTCAGCCACGGGTGAAGCCGCCCACTGGTCCTTGACAGCCGGGCATTAGCAGGCTCATTTCAAAACTGGGGGGTCCGGGGTTTGAGACCACAGATGTGCGGACCATGCCACAGACCACGTTTGTCAAGCTTGCTCGCAGAAGTCTGGACTTTTGCAGCGAAGCGGCAAGCGAATGCTGGCAATGAGTCACCGCCAGCTTCTGAAGCCGGGAGTCAGCACCGGCAGTGCAGAAATACACCTTCGAATCAGGGTGGGCTGCACCACAACAAGCGTGCAAACATGTGCAAACTACAGTTGCTCTGCCCCATGCCTCTTCAAAATCTGTGGCTGCAGGTTACACAGCATTCGACAAGGTTGAGTTATGCTTTATTTTCATCTTCCCATGACACCAGAAGACCACGGTGCAGCAACCGGCGGCTCAGGCTCAGGCAAAAGCAAGGCCTTGGTCACAGCAATCTTCGAATTGACTCCAACTTGAAACTTCGACTCTGCACAACATGTTACACGAAGGTTCAGAGTTTGGAGCGTCTAGCAGCCTAGCAACAGGCCTCTTTACATCTATGCCAAGTATGTTTGATTTCTCATGCTGCTTACAGCGGTTTCCGATCCTGTTAATAAGTCAATACTGTCTGGATGTGTTGTCGACATCCCAGACGGCTCGTCGGGACGAGTGCCGGTCCAGGTTCAGAGCATGCGCAAAGTAACACGACAAGAATAACTTTGAAAAGGGTTCATCACAGCGTGAAGCATCAAAAAAATATTCCAAAAGATCAAAACAAAGTATTTTGAAAAGACCAAAACAAAACTATTTAAGGGACCAGAAAAATATTCCTCAATAAAGCGGAGGCGGGCCAATTAAAACATCAAAAAACTATTTTGGGGAAAACTATTCTTGTCTTGTATGTAAAATAAAGAGGAGGCAGGATCACGTGCGTTCCAGGTGGAGGGCTGGCGCTCCGTTTGCTTCCGGAATCCCGCCAGTGCATAGGGAAGAACATTTTTGTCAGTCCAACAGAACCCGCAAGAACTCGGGGTATAAATCCTTCTGGCCGTGCTTGAGACTCTTCGGTCCGTGCCTGCAAAGCGCCAATACTTGGGGGAAAGCAACTTGGCTCTGGTCCGGAAAGCATTCCGGCCCCGACCGGAGATGTGTGTGTGTGTGCGTGGGTGGGTGTGTGTGTGTGTGTGTGTCTGCATGTGGCTTTCATCCGCAGGGGGCACCTGCCAGAC